CGCGGGTGGGTCGCGGCGCGGATGGGCTGCCGGTGGGTCGCGGCGCGGGTGGGCCGCGACACACCCGCGCCTCGACCCACCAAGGCCCCCTCACCCTAATCCGCAACTGCGGGAGACGAGGTGTGTGTTCTGAACAACTCGAAGGCCACTCTTCGGATTATCCCACGGTGCGACCTGAGCCTCACTTGGGCATTCAGCTTTAGCCGTCCCTTGGTCATCGCATTGCCCCGTTGGGCTCTGGGTCCAAGCCGTACTGTCCCACCGTAGGCAGGACGTGTCGGGCGGACTAAACCAGCGGTGCCAACGGGAATCACCCAGCGCTCGTCCTCGGTTTGTCCAACGACTGCTCTGACCTGGGGTGAGAACCACGAAGGGGTCTCGCGACCATCGTGGTATCCACAATGGTGGCAACAAGAAACTGGGCCCATCAATCGGGTTAAAGCTCCCCAGGGCCATCACTTCAAGACTCCTCTCTGTGCGCTCACACCCATCGCAGCAATATCTTCTAACCTCGCCTACCTCCAGCGACGACCCCGTGGCCATCAACTACATTTCGAGACCTACCTGGGCGTGGCGGCCCTGGCGGCATTCTGCGATGCCTTCAGCTGAAAGAGGAGCACAATGGCAAGAGCAGTAACCGGAAGGGACCGACCTCAAGACTGCCTCCTCTTCCCTCCTCCCTCATCCTTCCTCCTCGCCCTCTTCCTCCTCCTCCTCCTCTTCCTCCTCGTCTTCCTCCTCCTCCTCCTCCTCCTCCTCCTCCGATTCCTCCTCCTCCACCCCCCTCAATTGCCTCCCCCCTCCCTCCTCCTCCCTCCTCCTGCTGGGGTGCGGGGCCGGGCGGACTTCGGAGCCGAGAGGCTTCCCTCGATAGGGCAATGACGTCGAACTGCCGGGAGGCCTCGGGCCCGGGCCGCCGCTGCGTCACGCCGGTGGGTCGGGAGGAGGGGGCGAGCAGGGGTGGAGAGTGGCTCAGATTCAGGCAGCCGCCGAACCCAAATGATGAGAGAGCAGGGGCTCCCAACTTGGCGCGTCGCGCTCTCGCGCCGCCTCCCAGGGGAGAAGAGGAGGACGAGGAGGAGTCGGAGCCGAACCGCGAAGCGCGAATAACTTCGCGCCCTCGAGGGTGCCCTTGGAGAGGAGGGCGACGGGGAGCAGGGAGAGAGGACGGGGTGAGCAAGTGAGAGCAATCGCAAGGCGAGCCGAGACGAACTGCGAAAACTTGCGAGCGAGCTTCTCGGCCTTGCTGAAAAAGCTTTGGGCGCTCGATCGGACGGTGTCCGACCGAATTGCTCGCGTCGTGTCGCATTCGGAGCCCCAAGACACGCGTGGCCCAAATATCTGATCATTTCTTTGGCGTTGCGTAAAAGCCACAGTCCGCACAGAACCAGAACTTAGGGGTTCTCTGCATTTTCATGGAATGAGACGCGTGGACCCAACCTCCTGCTATTTGCAGTGGCACCCCCTTAGGCAAGGCCTCCAAACGGCCATCGATATAAGCAAGACAAGAACGCGCTAGCAAATCAATTATTACGAATGACTGAGTTGGCCGAAACACAGCAATGCTGACACTTCTTCCCGTTCCCGTGAAAGCTGTGGCTCGTGGCCAAGAAAGGGCACGCCGACGGAGCAGGGGGAGGCGGAGGAGGCGGCAGATCTGACTCCTTTTCTCTCTGGGGCTGCCCTTCGCTGGCAGCCAGCTCCGCTTCGGCCTCGGCGTCGAGCGAGACGCGTGCCGCTGGCACGAGCCGAAGCCTGATCTGATGCGCCTGCTTACCCGAAAGGCCCACTTCGTACCGTTAGGTCGGGCATGTCCCCCTGCAGGGGGATTTTGGACGAGAAAATGAAACATACTCAAAAAATACTCAAAAGATGCCCAAGAATACTCGAAAAATAATCCACTGACTATTTTTTGAGTATCTTTGAATATTCCCCCTGTAGAAGGACAGGCCCGACTTAAGACTACGAGGGCCGGTTGGTCTCGGCTCCCCAAGGCGCTGCCGATCTGATGCCACAGGCCCGAATCCTCGCCCACTGGTCGTCGATGCCGCTTGCACCGGCCATGGGCCACCATGGCGTCTTCGGTGACCAAGCGCGTGATGCCCTCGGGAGCTCGCAGCGCCACCAACATCGCGTACAACTCACCGCGTGGCCCCCCGTGCCGCGCACCTAGCAATGCTCCAGTGATCGTGGACTGCGTCGTCAGCGGCTCAGAGCGAGTGGATCTTCGCCACAGCGAGAGCCACTCTCCGAAAACGCGTGTCCGCTGAATCTGGCCCTCCGCTGACATGAACAACAAGCCAGAGAGATGCAGCAACCAACGCCGAACATGATGCTGTCCTGCTCGGCGGCCTGACCAAACGAATACGACTGTTCATGTTCGGGGGGCCCCGTGACTCGAGTCCACGCTGCTGGGATCAAGCCACAAATGAGGGATGGGGGCGGAGAAATGATCCCCCCATGCCCCCCTCCCTGTGACGGCATCGGGGCCAAAGAGGCGGGGGGAGTGGAAGAGGGCGAGGGGGGATCCATGGGCGCGCCGCTGCGAGGTGGAAACATAGATAGAGAGAGAGAGAGAAAGAGAGAGAGAGAGAGGGCGAGAGAGAGAGGTGGGTGAGGCGAGATTCTCGGGGAAGCACGGGGAAGCAGTCGTGGACCTGTTCCTGTGCTGCCAGAATTGACTCTGGCTGGACCAAGGTGACCCCCATTTTTCCTGGGAGGCCCAGATGGCCTCCAGAGCACCGCTCAACTCACGAGGTCCAGACGGCCCCAGGGGGTCCAACATGGCACAGGAAGCCAGCGGCGCCTCGGGCCAGGATGACTTCGGGCAACCTCCGAACGATGGAGACCACCCGCCATGGATCCATCGGCGGCGTCGGGCTGGGGAGAGCATCGGGGCCCAAGATCGCGACGCATCGCCGATGCATCTGCGAGGCGGCGCGATCCGCCGACCTCATGCACTCCAGTTTCATTCGGGGGCCCCCAGACGAAAAGTACCAGCCCAAAATCCCAGCTGGGTCGGGGTCAGGAATGCCGGAACTCTTGGGCGCGGCCCCCAGTGCTCCCCGAGCACCCCAGGAGCACCCTCAGGAGGCGCCAAGAAAGGGGCAGGCCTCACGGCTTCAGGGCAAGAGCGGAGCAAGATGGCCAAACATGATTCCAATACGGTCCCAGAGGCGCCCAAGACAGCCCCGACGAGCTCCACGAGGACCCCGAAGGTCCCCAAGAGGCAGCCTAAATTGATTCGGTTGTTTTTTCACAGACTCCGGCGTCACCGCCTTTCCGGGCTCCCGACCGCCCAGGACAGCCAAAGAGGCCGCCAAGATCGCCTCAAATCCGCCGAGTGCGCTCCCAAGACAGCCCCACGACGTTCCAAGGGAGCCCCCAGACGGCTAAAGTGGCCCCAGGCGGCTCCCCAGAAGGCCCCACGAGGGGGATCCAAACTCACATGTCAAGCCATCCTGGAAAGATGATTCTCTTAAGACGGCCAACAGGCGCCCATGAAGCCCCAGAGAGATGTCCCCAGAGGCCCACAAAGCTCCCCCGACGAGCCCATCAACAGGGCCCCAACAGGCGAACTCTCCACTGGCTTTGCTGCGGTTTTCACAAATTGGGGCGTCGCCGCCTTCTCGGGGTCCCGACCGCCCAGGACAGCCAAAGGAGGCCGCCAAGATCGCCCCGAGTCAGCTCATGACGCTCCCGAGATAGCCCCAAGACGTCCCAAGACGGCCCACGAGGCCTGCGGAAAGGGCTCCCGAGGCCCGCAAAAAAAGCCCACGACAAGGAATCTGAATCCACATGTCGAGCCGTCCCCGAAAGATAGCCCTTGAGCCTGCTAACAATCGCCCAAGAAGCCAGCAATTAACTCCCGCAAACCCAAAAAGCTCCACCGACAAAACCCGTCAGAGGCTCCAGGAGGTTCCAAACATGTATCCAAGAGGCCCCGAGACGCCCATGACTGCTCACGCAACACTTTAAGGAAACTACTACCACCCATCAACACCGCGGTGGAAACGAACATGCGGGCATGCGCCCGCGATAGACTAGTCTGGGCCGGCGGAATGAGCGAAGAGATTCATAAATGCAAGGCAACTTGATGCACCGCAGAACAGCACAACGCATTGTATACGATGCAGGCAGTGCAAAGCAATGCTAACTATTGCACGTATGCGCAAGCCAATGTTGACCAACGCACAGTAAAGCAGTACACAGTGACCAGCAACACAAAGCAATGCAAAACAAGTCAATGCGACCCGAACCAACACACATCAATGCAAGGCCATGCAATGCAATGACAGGAATGCAAACCAGTCCGGAGCACCGCAAATCAATGCCGAACAATGCAAATGCCGAAGGACCTTCAGGGAATCCCCGGGAACCGCCAGGACAAACCGGTGAACCCCATGATCCAGGGAGACTCCTGGGACCTCCTTGGGCGGGCCTTTCGAAACCTCTGGAACTGTGTGGGGGTGGACACTTTAGGGGGCTCTCTGGCGAAGTCTGGGCGCTGTCTCGGGGATCTGTTGGCCCGCTGGAGGCCCTCTTGAAACGTCTTGGGGCCTCTTGGGCCTGCTCGGAGGCCTCTGAAGGCCCCCAGGAAACATGCTGAGCTGAAGATCCGAAGAAACTAAACAAAACGCTGGTAACCGGAATGCTTCTCCCAGTCCTCCTGTCATGGGTCCTCGCTTTGAACTCAGCACTGCGACAGAGACAGAAAGCCAAGCCGAGCAGAACGTACTAACGCAAGCTAAAGCGTGGGCGTAGCTCAAAGCTGACCCCAGAGGGCGAGAAAGGGAGAGGGTGTGAGAAAGAGAGAGAGAGAGAGAGAGGAAAACATGTGTGTAGAGATGAAGAGAGAGAGAGAGAGAGAGATAAGCAACAAATACATACATACAAAGAGAGAGAGAAAGAGAGAGAGGGAGAGAGCGAGAGAGAGAGAGAGAAAGACAGAAGACAAGAAGTGAGAAAGGCCACTTACCTATCTTTCCCTCCCCTGATACCCGCTGCTGCCCGGTCGGCCTCCAAACTGGATACGCACTTCTCCACGTACTGCCACCAGCTCGCCCACGACCAGCCCACGCGGGACCAGCCCCAGCCCGCGGCGGCTGGCTTCGGGGACACGTGCATTAAATAAGCCGCAGGGCTGCCACGAGGGCGGCCGCGCCGGGGAGAGGAAAACGATGGAAGAGGACAGATGAGGAGAAGGCGGAGGAGGAAAAGAAAGAGGAGGATGAGGAGGGAGAGCAGGAGGGTCCCTGAGGGGAGGAGAAGGGGGGGGAGGAGGAAGAGGAGGTGAGCGAGGAGGGAGAATGCGGAGAGGAGGGTGCGGTGCAGACGGCGCGGCCCCGCCCCTGGGGCCCTCTGGCGCGCAGGCCGAGAGGACGCTCGCCCCGCGCCCGCCCGCCGCCGAGCAGGGGAACAGGTTACCCACGCACCAGTTGAGGTTAAAGGAGCCCTGGGACACACACACGCAGACACACGCACACGCGCACACGCGCACACGCACGCACACACACACACACACGCACACACACGCACACACACGCGCACACACGCAGACACACGAATACACACACGCACACACACACGCAAACACACGCGCACACACATACACGAACACACACGCACACACACACACACACGCACACACACACGCACGCACACACACATGCACACACACACACGCACACGCACAAACACACGTACACAAACGCACACACACGCACACACACGCACACACACACGCACACACACACACGCACACGCACACGCACACGCATACGCACACGGGTGCATTCGGGGGTACACGGGCGCACACGGGCGCACACACACACACACACGCACACACATACGCGCACGCATACACACGCACACACGCACACACGCACACATGCACACACACACGCACACACACGCACACACACACACGCACACACACACACACACACACGCACACACACACACACACGCACAACCACGCACACACACACGCACACGCACACACGCACACACACACGCACACGCGCACACGCGCACACGCACGCACACACACACACACGCACACACACGCACACACACGCGCACACACGCACACACACACACACACACGCACACACACGCACACGCGACAACACGCGCGCACACACGCGCGAACACACGCGCGCACACACGCGCACACACGCACACACACGCACACGCACTCACACACACACACGCACACACACACACACACGCATACGCACACACACGCACACACGCGCGAACACACGCGCGCGCACACGCACACACGCGCGCACACGCGCGCACACGCGCGCACACGCGCGCACACGCGCGCACACACGCGCGCACACGCACGCACACGCGCACACGCGCAAAACGCAGCGCACACGCACACACACACGCACACACACACACGCACACACACACACATGCACACACGCACACACACACACACACACGCACACACACGCACACACACGCACACACACACGCACACAACACACGCACACACGCACACACACACACGCACACACACGCACACATACACGCACACATACACGCACACACACGCATTCACACCCACACGCACACGCACACGCACACGCACACACGTGCGCACACACGCGCACACACGCACATTCACGCACGCGCACGCACGCGCGCACACGCACACACGCGCGCACACGCGCGCACACGCACACACGCAACGCACACGCGCGCACACGCGCTCACACGCGCGCACACGCGCGCACACGCGCGAACACGCGCGAACACGCGCGCACGCGCACACGCGCACACGCGCACACGCGCACACGCGCACACGCGCACACGCGCACACGCGCACAAGCGCACACGCACGCGCACACGCGCACACGCGCACACGCGCACACGCGCACACGCGCCGCGCACACGCGCACACGCGAACAGGCGCACACGCGCACACGCACACGCACAAACTCGCACAAACTCGCACACGCGCATACGCGCACACACGCACACACGCACACACGCACGCACGCACGCACGCACACGCACACGCACACGCACACTCACGCACGCATGCGAACGCACGCACACACGCACGCACGCACGCACGCACGCACGCACACACGCACACACGCACACACGCACACACGCACACACGCACACACACGCACACACAAATACTCACACATCCCAAGATGTACCATATGCTCTTATATGTTCTGGGTTTTCGTCTTCCCCCCCATTGTCCATACTGTCCGGGGAATAGGCGATTAATGGTGTCTGTGTTTTTCTCCTCCTGAGAGGTGGAGGGAGGGAGGGAGGAGATGGGGCGGGAGGAGGAGCAGGGAGAAGAGGAGGGAGCAGGGAGGAGGAAGAGCAGGGAGGAGAAGAAAGGAGGTGGGGGGGAGCGGGAGCGGGGATCGAACAGAAAGGGCGCATCTCTTCACGCTGCCACGTCCCCATCCTCCCGCCTTCCTCTGCTCGGGGGAATGGGTGTATCATTGTGAGGGGAAATACGCACGGCACATACAGAAACTTTGCGAGGTCCGCGCGGATTTCTTCGATATCTGCGCTGGACCTGCGTCCTTGGCGCGCGGAGGGCGCCAGGGGCGCCAGCGTGGGCGCCGCTAAGGAAGGCCCAACGTCGATCCATGAAATCCGCGCGGACCTCCATACATATATGTGTATGCCGTCTTCAACTACGTATCCGCACTGTTCCATGTTAGTATGCACCCTAGGGCGTCGTCGCTGAGGTCCTCGGCCGTCCTGGAAATACTCTAAAAGGAGAGTCTGCTTAAGGGTAACTCCCGCCGCCCGCCTCTCCTCCGCCCCCCCCACGCTTTCATATCCCATCACGCCCTCTCTGCCTCTCTGCCGCCTCCACCTCACCTCCCCGCCCCCCCCTCGCTCCGAGAGCTCCTGCTGGCCAGAGGGTGCGGAGGTCGCGAAGCGCCCCAGATACGAATAAACCTGCCACGCTTCCTCGTTCATGGCCAAGAGGCCATCCAAGTTGTGGCCAAATGTCACGAGGACCTGCTTCCGACGAGAAGGCAATGATAACCAACCGGTGTGGATGGAAACTCATAGGCAACGCTTCTGCCGAGATGCAATCTCACTATGGAATCCGATCTTCCTCAAATCGGACTTCTACGTGTCGCCCCACCACCCTGTGTTGGATGATTCCTGAAAACAACTATTTGGTTTGGCCCGTGGAATCATACCAAAGTATCAATATTTTGCATTCCCAGTTCAACAGAAAGACGAATAACGATTGTACAAGTAAGCATGCAACACGGATACAGCATAACGGTGGGAAGTACCTATCACACCACCTTCCAGGTATGGGGATGGGTGCAATTTTCAATATGCGATTCGTTTCGAATCGGGCCGGTGATCGAACTGACTCTGGTTATTATCGCTGAAATTCTTCGCCTGAGCCATTGTAGCGATTATGAACGACTTAATCTTTAGCACACATGTATGTTAGCCATCGTGGACTCCACACAGTAAGCGATTGCAAACTATGCGATGGAATCTATGTGGTGCAGCGCATGCGATGTAACCGATGTAATGCCATAGCTGTAATGCCACTTACGCGGCGCAATCTACGATGTGCAATTCGTGTCTGTTCGCGGTGCGTTGTCTCTTCCACTGCTCGCGCAAACATCCGACCCAGCCACCCGCAACGCGGTTTGCTAAACCCACGCGGCGGCGATGGCGATGAGTGCTTCGCGTTGGCTGGTGCATCTCCGCAGTCGCGCAAGCCCGCGTACGGACGCGCGCGCAGCGGCCAACTAGTTTAACGCGGCCGATGCGGCCGCGGTCGCGCCGGGTACATCCCAGGTGCACTTCACTGCGAGTCGGCGACTACGGCGGGCGCGGTATCATGGCAACGTCGACAACGGTAGCCACGATGATGATACTGGCGATGCTGGTGGCGAGGCTGGCAGCGACGACGGCATGGCCAGTGAAGGCGCCGATGCTATCACGCCGACGGCGCTGACGGCGTCCTCGCGTCGGCGATGAATGTTTTGGAAGGAGTTCGACGTGCGCGCGCGGCCGACGCGCGAGAGTGGCCGCATGGTACTATTCAACACGGATCGTGCCCCACCCCACAGCACGCGCGCAAGGGCGTTCGAATGAATTCGGCATGCGGCGCGAGAGGCCCGTTTTGGCCAAAGTTCCAAAATATGTTGGCAACCGATGGTTTTCTCGAGGATTCGCAAGAGCGCGCACGAACTTGTTCTGCGCATCATCGTTGCGAAACCATGTGTTGTGATCTGTTTGTTTCTGTTGTGCACTCGATTTTGCAATCCGTACGAAAACTGCAGTGTTTGAAATGTGACGGCGGCGTGCGCGACGGCGCGCGCGTGCACTTCGCCCCATCTGTTGCAAAGGGTCTTTGCGACAGCATGCGCGCAAGGGCGTTCGGACGATTTCGACAAGCGCGCGCGAAACCCGTTTGGCAGTTTATGAACATGTAGAAAAAAACCAGCAGCGACGCTTTATTCTTTAAAACTACATTGCAAGAACGCGCGCGCAAACGATAATGAAAACGAGCGTTGCGAAACCAAATGTTGTTGTATATATTTGGACACTCGATTTTGAAACCCTTGCGCCACCAAGTTTTTGTTGCATGATTCCGGCATGCGCGCGCGACGACGCGCGCCCGTGCACGTCGTTTCATTGTTGTGGTGGATTGTGATAAACGAGCGCGCGTATAATTTTGTTTGCAGAGGATGGCGGGGGGGGGGTCGATGCCGAGTGGGCCGGGGTGGTACGGGCTCATCCTTAAAATGGGCGAAGGGACAGCACCGCATGAACATTACGGTCAAAGGGGTCGGTGATCCTGGGGATGGGGGGTTTGTGGTATCTGTTTCCCTTTTAGAAAAGAAAAAGGATTGGTTTTTACCAACGAACAGACGCATACCATGCTCTTGCAAACATCTCAACCATCCACCCGCAACTTGGTTTGCAAAACCCATGCGGCGGCGATTGCGATGAGTGCTTCGCGTTGTCTGGTTCGCATCAGCGGCCAGGCTACCCCGCGCGCGTGCGCGCGCAGCGTCCAACTAGTTTGGCGCGACCGACGCGGTCGCGGCGGCGCTGACCTCTGGGCGCGTCCCAGCGGGCACTTCAGTGCACTTCGTTCATTGCGAGTAAACGACTTCGGCGGGCGCGGTGCCACGGCAACGTCGACGACGGTAGGCGCACTGGTGCTAGTAGCGATGGTGGTGGCGATGCTGACAGCGACGACGGAGCGGCAAATGACGGCGCCGATGCTGATTGCGCCGGCGACGATGACGGCGCCCTCGCGTCGGTGATGAAGGTTTTGGAACGAACTCGAAACGCGCGCGCGGCCGACGCGCGAGTGACCGCATGGCATTACTTAGCACGGATCGCGCACGCGCAGACGCGTTCGACTGATTTCGGCATGCGGCGCGAAAGGCTCATTTGACCGAAATGCATGAGAATGCGCGTACGATTAAACCGTCGCAAAAATGCGCGCAAGCTTTTCTTGCGCATCCTTGTTGCGAGGCGATGTGTTGTTATATATATATATATATATATATATATATATATAAATATACATGTATATATATGTACATATACATATATATATATGTATATATATAGCTCGACATTGAACATTCCGTTCCATACCTGCAGTGTTTGAAATATGTCAGCATGGGCGCGACGATGCGCGCGCGCACTTCGCCCCATCTGTTGCAAATGATCATTGCGACAGCGCGCGTGCAAGGGCGTTCGGAAGATTGCGACATGTGCGCGCGATGCCCGTTTGGTTGTATTTTTTTGGAAGACGTTGAAACACCGATGGTCGTAAGTACTCGCGAGAACGCACGCGAGCTCTTGAACATCCCGCGTTGCGAAACCATGCGTATTTTATATATTCTTTGGGTACCCGATTTTGAAATCCTCACGAGACCTGAGGTTTGCATGCGCGCGCGACGACGGGCGTGAGCACTTCGTCTTATTTTCTGGAAGGGACCATGAAAACTGATGACATTTGATAAACGAGTGCGCGCGCATCGCGTTTGTTGCTTAGGATGGCGGGGGGGGGTCGATGCCAGCTGGCCCGGGATGGCACGAGTCATCTTTAGGATGGGCGATGGGGCGGAATCATACGTACATCAAAATACAAAAAAGGGATACTCCTGGGAACGGTTTGAAAGAAAGGGAATCTACGTGGTGCCATTGATAACTCTGCGCCGCGCTTGACCACCCCCCAAGCCCTTGAAAGTATCCTACCCGCCCACCCGTAACTTGGTTTGCAAAACCTACGCGGCGGCGGTTGCGATGGGTGCTTGGCGTTGGCTGGCGCATTCTGCGGTCGCGCTAACCCGCGCGTGCTCGCGCGCGCAGCGGCCAGCTAGATTGGCGCGACCGACGCGGCCGCGGTGGCGCTGACCGCATGGCATTTCCCTGCGGGCACTTCAGCGCGAGTCGGTGGCTTGGGCGGACGCGGAATCATGGCGACGCCGAGAACAATAGACACGATTATGAAAGTAGCGATGGCGACGAAGGTGGCGATGACAACGGCAAGGTCAGTGACGGCGCCGATGCTGATCACGCCGGCGACGATGACGGCGTCTTCGCGTCGGCGATGAGGGTTTTGGCACGAGATCATGCGCGCGCGGACGACGCGATAGAGTCGACGCATGATATTATTTGACGCGGAGCGTGACCCCCAGCACGCGCGCAAGGGCGTTCGAATGATTTCGGCCGCGGCGCGAGCGGCCCCGTTGGCAGAATTTCATGCGAATGTTGAAAACCCAGTGGTTTTCTTAAGAAGTCGCAGTAACGCGCGCGCGATTTTTTCTCATTGCCCATGTTGCGAAACCATGTATTGTTATATGTGTTTGGGGCACTCGGTTTTGACACTTTTACGCAACTGGAAGTTTCTGACTGACTTCGGCATTCGCGCGCGACGACGCGCGCGTGTGCACTTCGTGTCGTTGGATGCAAATGCTTAATGCGACAGTGCGCTCGCTAGGGCGTTCGGACCAGTTCGCCATGCACGCGCGCGCGAAGCGCGTGTGGTAGCATGTATGAAAACGTTGAAAACCCGATGGTCCATTCGCATGTACGCGCGTTCAATGTTGTTCTAAAGCCGTGTTTGGGAACCATATGTGTTTATTTGTTTTGGACACTTGATTTTGATGTCCTTACGAATCCTCGGGTCTCCGAAGGATTTCGGCATGCGCGCGCGACGGCGCGCGCGTGAGCACTTCGTCTCATCTTCTGCAGGGGGTTATTGGAAACTTGTGTTTTTGATAAGCGAATGCGCGCGCAAATTATTTGTTGCAGGGGATGGCGGGGGGGGGGTCGATACCTGCCCCCTGGGATGGTGCGAACTCATATTCAGGATGGGCGAATGGGCATGTACATTGCGATACAAAAGGGGCGCGGATAATCCAAGAGGGGGAGATCTATTTTCTTTTCAAAAAAAACTATGCGACGGCGAAGGCGGCGACGGGCGGCACCGTCCGCAGGGGCCGCCACTCGACCCGAACGGCGGCGACGGCGACGGCAGCAACGGGCGGAACCGCCCGCAAAAGCCGCCACTCGCCCCGAGCGGCGGCGACGGGGACGGTCACGGCGACGGCGGGGCGGCAACGGGCGGCACGGCGACGGGCGGCACGGCACGGCCGGCAGTGGTCCCCAGATGGTTTTGACAAGTCTGAACCCCTCATTGCAAGCACTGTCTGGGAAATATATAATCACAGTGTTTTCCCACGACCGCGGGGAACGGTGGCGGGCGCGCCTGTCGCGAATCCTGGTCAAGAGAAGTAGCAGTTTTGGCTGCAGCAACCTGAACATACACTAGACACACAATTCCTTCCAAACGATATGTATGTATGTATGTATGTATGTATGTATGTATGTATGTACGTATGTACGTATGTACGTATGCATGCATGTATGTGTGTATGTATATATTTATTTATTCTTATGTATATATATAGCCATTGTAATATTTGTTTTCACCTGGGACCCCAATCCGAAATCGGACCCCCCGAATGCTGGGCCTCTGGGACCCTCTGGACCCTCGGATCCGTGGCCCCGGGGACCCCCTGGACGCCTAGGCAACGGGCCCAAATCGGTCAGGAGGGCGGCCGAACGCCCCCCTGAGGACCCCAAGAGGCCCCACCCAGACACGCACCAGACTTCCGAAGACGACTTAAAGAAGACTTCCAAGAGGCTTCCAACACGCAGACAAACATTTGTTTCCTAAGGTTTTTGCATGATTTTGGGAATGCCCTGTTCGAACATCGCCTCACAACCATCCGAAAGGGCTTCCAGGCAGTCCGAGAAAGCCCCAAGACGGCACACCAGGGTTCCAAGATGGCCTAAGAGATCCCCATGATGGCCAAAGATGGCCATCATGGGGATCTCAAGATGGCCCAAGAGGCCTTCAAGTTGCCCCAGGAGGCCTCCAAGATGCCTCTCAGGACCCCACGAGGCACAAAACATTGATGGTCCTTAGGTCTTGGAAAGGATTCGGCGTTCTCGCTGATTCTGTTTTCCGACGCTCCAAGGCGGCCCAAGAGGCCTCCAAGACCACCCCAAGACGGCCCAAGAGGCCTCCAAGAGGGTCTTAAGGCGACCTAAGAGCGCCTCAAGGCGGCTCAAGAGGTGCCCAAGACGGCCTTAAAAGGGGCCCAAGAGAGGGAACAATAACCAAACATCCGAGCCTTCCGCCCCAGGGGGACCAGCGGAGGCCCCAAGAGACTACCAAGAGGCCTCAAGAGACACCCAAAGAAGTCCCGAAGAGCCCCGAGAGGCCCAGAAGAGGCTCCGAGAGGCCCCAAAATGGCCTCAAAGAGGCCTCAACACTGCCTTCGAGAGGCCCCCGAGAGGCCTCCCACGAGATCCCAACAAGCATCCAACAGGCTTCTACACACAAACCAGGCACGGTGGCGGGATTGACCGAAGGCCATTTGGTAGGTATATGTGGACTACATCGCCAAAATCTTCAAACGCCTATGCATAGTTTAGCCCCAAGGAGCTCTTAATACACGTGTATATCCAAACACATCTACATATATATATATATATATATATGTAACGGCTCTAGCCTTCCGCATCATAGAACGATTCCCAAACCAGACCTCCTCGCTCTCGTCGAACTCATCTGACGCTTGTAAACCCTCGAACTCCACATACTATCCAGACTGCCCAGAATGTTCAACCCCAATGCCTGCTCGAACTGCAATCCGCCTCCCAGCTGCGATAATAAAACTAATGCAGCATGTCGAACTCTCGCGGCCCTGTAATGATTAGACGTTTCTTCATGTGCCCAAGCTAACACACACTTTCATACATCTTGAAACTTGTCTGAACGTTCTGCTTTGTGTAACTGTTCTCTGTCCCGCCTACTGCATCAATATTCCACGTCTCCCTAACCACGGGGCATGCGTGACGTTCGCAAGGGGTCAGCCACGCAACAATCGCAAGACGACACTGCGACAACCATACGGGACAGCCACGGGACAAACGCACGGGACGTTCCCTCAAAAACGCCAGCAACGGCAGACTCACCACAATGACTCCATCCAAGAGCGGCCCCACGCACGCACAATAACAAACGGTGCGGCTATCTTCTGGCTTTCTCAAAGCCTACCAATAACTGGCTTCCCTCACGGCTGGTTCCTGTCGCGACGAAGTGGGCGTTAGTTTATGACCCCGCGTGGATCGTTCAAACGTGAATGATCGTGGCTTTCCGAATGCGCACAACATTCGATATCGGCCGATTCTGGTCCGACGCTGGCGTTCAGCTATTGACGCTCCCGTTTGGAACCTACTGTAACCAGGGGTCCTTGCGAGTTTCGAGCCGAGCCCGCAAGCGGCCTCCTCCACACTCCGCAGCTTCAGTCTGTGGGCCTTCACCAGCTCGGAAACCACCTCTGCTCGCCCGCTCTCGGTTCAAGCCTCGGCGTCGTCGTCGGTGCCTCGCTCCGTCACCGTCGTGGCCGTTGTCGGCGCCTTTAGGCGTCGGCATGGCTTCGTCGTCGTCGTCGTCGTCGGTACCTGGTCGTGCGCGTAGGTCTGCAGGACGTCTTGGTGCCTGCCTTTCATGCCGTTTCCTGTGATCGGCAGGCGCCTTGTGTTTTCCCCAAGTAGTGATTGCACTTCGGGATTATTACTTGCACTTGTCTTTAAAGGAACTGGGCCTGCGGGCCGCTCTGGCCGCAATGTGGCCGCCGTCGCCGCCTCGACGCCGCCCGCTGCCTCGTCGCCACCCGCCGCCCGCCCGCCTTGTTTTGCTTCGCATTGCTTCGCATTGCTTCGCATTGCTTCGCATTGCTTCGCATTGCATTGCATCGCGCATTATCTTGCATTGATGTGCGCTGCGCTGCTTTGCATTACATTGTATTGTGTTGCGTAGAGTTGCATTGCTTCGCATGGCTTTGCATTGCTTTGCGATGTGTTGTGCTGCTGTGGCTTGCGTTTGTTTGCGTTTACCTTGCGCCGCACAGATTGCACCACTTGGATTGCACCACTTGGCTTGCATCACCTGGACTGCACCGTCTATGTTGCCAAACATCGCTGTTTGTGGTCCGCGCTGGCTATGAAGATTTTGCTGGAACACAGCGAGCACGCTCTCTCCACGCGGCCGCCCAAGTGCTGCCTTTGGCCTCGCGCGGCCTGCACAGCCCCATCGACCGCATCGAGACGCGTCCGTGGATGATGAGGGTCGGCCGACCCTCCCTCGCCCCCCCCCCTCCCCTCACCCTCCCCTCGTCTTACGCTGCTCCCATCGTACTTCAGGACCACATCCCAAAAATAATTTCGAGCACCCAGAACAGTGTCGAAACAGTGTCGAACGAGTATCGCCTCCCAGGGCCCGACACATGAAAACCATAAAGTTTCGGTACTTTCTTGGTGCACGAAATTATTTTTGGTGATCAAGGCTAAGGTAGGTTGGAACATCATAACCTCGTCCTCCCGAAAAGTTGGTTCAGGCTCTCTGAGTAGGAAGGAGACACAGCATACAGAAGGTTCATCTGTCGGAGGTCCGCGCGAATCTCTCGGTCTGCGCCGAGCCCCCCTCCCCCGGCGCACGGGGCGCGCCAGAGGCGGCGCCCGAGGCGCCGCCAGTGGGGTTCAGCGCAGCTGCAAAACATCCGCGCGGAAGTCCGGAACTTTATGAAGCGAAGCGAAACTGGCGTGGAGACCGTGGCCTCAACACATGTGAAACACAGGCAGACTCTCACGTGCTAACCACCACTCAGTGCTCCCACTCCGGAACTTCATGCTCATACATGGTCTTCTTCGAGGGCCAGGAGTTCGCACAGGGGGTGTCAGCGAATCAGCTCGCGCAGCTGACCTGCCCGACGCCTCCTGGCGCCAGAGGCGCCGGTGCGTAGAGAGAGGAGCGCGCCCCGCGGCGGTGCCGAGGCCAGCTGCATGAAGCAGCTGTCGCGATCTCCCCCCTGCCATCGCTCGGACGTCCATTCCCCGTGCATTTCTCGGTTTCGTGCGTGGTTTTGTTTGCAAAGTGGCCCAGCATGCTCCTCGATGGCCCTCGCCCAGAAAAATGCACACTTCCGAGCGATGCCAGGCCCCCTTTCCCTGATCGTCCTCTTTCGCCTGACCCGACCCCTTGCGAAGTCGAATCGATGCACGCCACAAGTGGGCTTCGGCGTGCATCATCGGATCGATCGATTCGTGCACGAGCCTGACAACTGAGGGTCCTCCGTCCACTGCGCCCCCAAGAACGTCATCTCAGAATTCATGATTCAAAAAATGTGGCCCGACTCCGGGCCCCACCTCGCCGGTATGCCAACACCTCCCGAATTGAGTCTGCGCTGAGGCTGGACGACCTAAGCAAGCGGGGCTGCCCTATCAAAGTGAGGGGGCCGACCCGTCTTTTACTGTTGCTGGGTGCGCGGCGGATGATTGTTGTCAACTGACGCACGCGCCCTCGGGGGTCTGCTAACAATCAGACCCGGGCCATCAGGAACCCCAAAAACAGCAACGCAGGAAAAAAACAGTGCAGCGCACGCAGGGCTTTGCCAACCCGGGTCAGCCAATATGCGCGGCCGCCCCGCGGCCACGAGCGGCTCGCTAACCCAGGTCAGCCAGAGGGAGTCTTCGCAGGATTCTGCAGGATCCGGTGCCCTGGCTGACCCCCGTTTGCATTGACCCCTATCTCAAGGCTTCCGACGCCCTGCGACCCACCCGTGACCGGCCCTGCGACCGATCCGCCCCAACCGGAAAAATTGCCTGCGGCGGGCCCTGTCGGCGTGCGTAACAAGTTTTTCCCTTTGAGTCGTCGTCGTCGCCGTCGGCGTCGCCGTCGCTGCTCTCCCCCCTTCCTTGAGCCCTCCTCCTCAACCATCTCAGCGAGAAGAAATCGAGCAACGTCATAGCCGAGTTGGAGGGGAGCCCCTTCCCTATGATCCCTCCTCTGCGGATGGGGGGGGAGGGTCCGGGGGGGAAGGGGGGCTGGGTCCCACGGGGGGCCCTGAAGAGAAAAAGCCGCTCCCCGATGGAAGGGTTCGTCCCCGGTTGATCGGTTCGTTCCCCACTGACCATTTCCAAAACGGAAGTTCGCTCCTGGTTGAACGGTTCGTTCCCTGGTGGAACTCTTGCTTGTCTGAAACTCCCACGAAAAGTATAAGCCGCCTCTGAGAGGCCTCGAAAGCACGTCTCAGAACCGTTGAGCGCCCCTGATATGCCTCTGAAAGAAAGGGCCGCTCAGGGGCCTCTGGCAAGTTGTTGAGGAGCCTCTGAGGAGCTTTTGAGAAGCTTCTGACGAGCCTTCGAAGGGCCTTTCAGACGGGCCATAATATGCATAAGGAAGAGCCTTTCAGAGTTTCCAAATTTGGGTTCTTTGCATCGGTTGTATGTGTATGGTGTGTATGATTTGCGTGAAGTAGTGTTACGTCTACAACCATTATTATTACTACCACTAGCATGACCATGCCTTGTATATCACTACTACTGCGACTACTACTACTACTCCTACTCCTACTACTACTACTACTACCACTACTACTACCACTACCACTACTAGTACTAGTAGTACTACTATTACGGCTACTACTACTACTACTACTACTACTGCTACTACTACTACTACTACTAGTACTACTACTACTACTACTACTACTACTACTGCTACTACTACTACTACTACTACTACTACTACTACGACTACGACTACTACTACGACTACTACTACGACTACTCGTACTACTTCTTCTACTGTTACTACTACGACCAATACCACTATTACTAATGATCCTGCTACTGCTCATGTTCATACTACTACTACTACTACTACTACTACTGCTGCTGCTACTACTCGTAAATCTACAACGACTGTGACTACTACTAGTACTAGTACTAGTACTAGTACTAGTACTAGTACTAGTACTAGTACTAGTACTACTACTACTACTACTACTACTACGACTACGAGCACTCATACTACCACTACTACTGCAACTGATACTACTACTACTACTACTGCTTCTGCTGCTGCTACTATTACTACTCCTACAACTATTACTACTGCTACTGCTACTGCTACTACTACGACTACTACGCTTACTACTACTTCTACTTCTTCTACTACTACTACTACTACTACTACCACTACCACTACCACTACCACTACCACTGCTACTACTACTACTACTACTACTACTACTACTACTACTACTACTACTACTACTACTACTACTACTACTACTACGACTACGACTACGACTACTACTACTACTACTACTACTTCTTCTACGTCTTCTACTTCTTCTACTTCTACTACGACTACTACTATCAATACTACCACTAATATAATTCTTTACGCTTCGCGTATCCCCACCAGCCCATCTCACAACAACAGCTCTTGCGAAGCATGCCGACAGTCGTGTTTTTTCAGGCGTGTGTCCGCTTGGCCCCGCATATCTCCCCTGTTCCTCCTTCCTCCCGCCTCCTTGTACATCCTCTTTGGTGGGGGAGCGGGAGAAGGACGAGGCGGAGGAGGAGGGAGAGAAAGCGCTCCTCGTGATTTGAGTCGTTTGGGGTTTTTCGTCCTGGTGTGAGTCGTTCGGGCCCTTCTTCCTGGTGTGAGTCGTTCGGGCTCTTCGTGGTGTGAGTCGTTCGGGCTCTTCGTCCTGGTGTGAGTCGTTCGGGCTTCTCGTGGTGTGAGTTGTTCGGGCCCCTCATCCTGGTGTGAGTCGTTCGGGCCCCTCCTCCTGGTGTAACTCGTTCGGGCTCCTCGTGGTGTGAGTCGTTCGGGGCCCGCGTCGTGGTGTGAGTCGTTCGGGCTCCTCGTGGTGTGAGTCGTTCGGGCGCCTCGTCCTGGTGTGAGTCGTTCGGGCCCCTCCTTGTGGTGTGAGTCGTTCGGGCTCTTCGTGGTGTGAGTCGTTCGGGATCTTCGTCCTGGTGTGAGTCGTTCGGGCTTCTCGTGGTGTGAGTTGTTCGGGCCCCTCATCCTGGTGTGAGTCGTTCGGGCCCCTCCTCCTGGTGTAACTCGTTCGGGCTCTCGTGGTGTGAGTCGTTCGGGGCCCGCGTCGTGGTGTGAGTCGTTCGGGCTCCTCGTGGTGTGAGTCGTTCGGGCGCCTCGTCCTGGTGTGAGTCGTTCGGGCCCCTCCTTGTGGTGTGAGTCGTTCGGGCTCTTCGTGGTGTGAGTCGTTCGGGCCCCTCGTCCTGGTGTGAGTCGTTCGGGCTCCTCGTGGGGCCTCTTGGGGGCCTCTTGGAGCCTCTTGGGGCCTCTTGGGGGCCTCTTGGGGGCCTCTTGGGGGCCTCTTGGGGGCCTCTTGGGGCGTCTTGGGGCCTCTTGGGGGCCTCTTGGGGGCCTCTTGGGGGCCTCTTGGGGCCTCTTGGGGGCCCCTTGGGGGCCTCTTGGAGGCCTCTTGGGAGCCTCCTGGGGGCCTCTTGGGGCCATCTGG